CTGTGCTGCCTTTATGAGGCCCCCCCAGGAGAAATTCCTGTCTGATTTTAGTACCAAGAACAGTTGTAATTCTCTTGAGCCACGGATCTGTATTTATCTCGTGGACACGGGGGATTGTGTCACTGACATGGTCTTCTTTCCAGGTTGGCTGCGGGAAAGCTTGGGGACAAATTTGTGGCCCACCCAAGGGAGGTGACTAGGGCATATCCCAGGGAGCATGCTGGCTTCATTCTTGTCTCGGCTTTGTCATCCTGTTGAGTTTTGTCTCCCCTCCGCGTTCATTCTTAATTTGTGGTGTAAAGTCTAGAGCAGACAAGCGAAGACAAATAAAAACAACCTGTAATCTCATTCTCCAGAGATAAGCACGAGGAACAACATTCCTTTTCTTACTTTTTTGGGGGGAGGGGAGGAGGGAATAAAATAAAAACGAAATATACGGTATATAGTGTTTTAGGGAAAGCATAGGACTGTGATTTACTTTTTCCCATTTTATGTCAGGAAGATCTTTCCATGTAATTAAATATTCTTCTTTGACATGATGTTTACAATTTCCAATGATGCTAGTAATTCATAACTAATAACCAACATTCTGCGCCTTCACTTACTATGTGCCTGACTTGACGCATACTTACATGCCCATGTATGTGAACATACAACCAGTTGCAGTGTTGTGTATTATAACACATGTGTGCCCTATGGGTTGGTTGTCAGTGGCCGAAGAGGATGATTTAGAAGTAGATTGTTTGCCAGGCCTTTCCTCCAATGCACCTCTGGGTGGGCCTGAACCTCCAACCTTTTGGTTAGCAATGGAATGCATTCACCGATTGCACCACTCAGGGATTTCCAGGGGAAATAGATACACATGTATGTCATGTATGTTATATAATACATACACAGTTTATATAGCGGTGATATTCACACATGTTGCCTCATTTGATGCTCAGCACCTTACGGAAACCAAGACTACACCCACTGCCATCAAGTTGATTTTAACTCAAGTCAATGCCATTGTGTGGACGCTGACTCATAGCAACCCCTATGGGATAGAACAGAACAATGGATGAATGGATTGTGATAAAAGTTGTAGAAGCCCCAATAAAATGATATAATTAATTTTAAAAAATTAAAAAGAACTACCCTTGTGGGTTTCTGAGGCTGTAAATCTTTACAGGAGCAGAAAGCCCATCTTTCTCCCGAGATTCCAACTCATAGCAACTCTATCTAGGATTTCTAAGACTGTAAATCTTTAGTGAGTAGACAACTCAATTTTTCTCCTGTGGAGAAGCTGGTGGGTTTGAATTGCTGTCTTTCTGGTTAGCCTAGCCTGCAGTGGCACCTGGGCTCCTTTGAGGTAGCTTGATTGTCCCTCTTTTAAGGATGAAGGTGCCCTGGTGTCACTATGGGATACACACTGGGCTGCAAACCACTAGGTTGGTGCTTCAAATCCACCAGCCGCTCTAAGGGAGAAAGATGAGGCTGCCTGCTCTGGTAAAGACGTACAGTCTTGGAAACTCTATCCTGGGTCACTGTGAATTGGAAGTTCCTCTGTGGCAGTAGATTTGGTTTGTTTTTTTGTTTTACTTTACAGACGAAGAAACTGAGGCGTGGAGAGATCGATAGACTTGACAAGGTCTATCAAGACCATTTGAACTCCACCACCCTGGCTCCAAACTGTGCCCTCTTGCCAGCTGCACTGACTTTCAGTTTACCATTGCTTACCAAACAACAGTCCAAACAAGCCCTGGTGGAGTCGTAGTTAGACACTGGGCTGCTAACCACAAGGTTGGCAGTTCAAAACCACCAGCCCCTACATAGGAGAACGATGAAGCTTTCTAATTCTGTAAAGAGTGAGTGTTGAAAATCCACACAGGCAGTTCTACCCTATCGCATAGGGTCACTGTGAGAATCAACTCAATGGCAGGGAGGAATTTTGTTTTTATTTTAAGTATGCTTACGAATCACCCGAAGGTCTCTCTGCCACACGGCCAAGCCTACAGAAACCGTGAAGAAAGGGGCAAGTGGCAGAGAGAGGCAAGGGTATAAAGTACTACTCCAGGGCAGAGGAGGATCCCAGGCTGCCCTGTGATGGAATGGATTTCTGTCTCTGCACTGAGCTCCCATCCCTGACTTGGGTGGTGTTTCCAGGGAGCTTGGGAAGGTGGTCCTTCAAAGACACTGAACTGGGCCAGGCCAGCCTGAGGCCCCTCCGAAGCTTAGAATCTCCGAGTTTCTGAAAATACCCATGTGACAACAGGAGGCACGCCATGCCCTCAAGGCAGCGACTTAGCTGAAGGGCCAGAACCAGGAACCTGGAGCTTTCCAACTGGGTCTATTACTAGCTCACTCCTGGAAAATACCAGGGCAACAGTAACGGCAGTGCCAATCGCCCAGTCCAGTGTGTTCTCTCCCAAAGCCCTTTGCCTGCTCCTGCAAGGTGGTCATGCCCCCTTTTGTTAAGCTGGCAGACAATGTGGTGGGAGGGGGGTGATGTTCCAGGATACTATAAATTGGGTGGGATCCTCTATTTAACTAATGTGGCCCAGTGGGAGGAGCCCTGTGTCTATTGCAACATTTGATATTTATTAGCTGGTATGTGATTAAGCTGGGCTGCTAACCACAGGGTCAGCAGTTTGAAGCCACCGGTCTCTCTGAGGAAGAAAGGCCAGGCTTTCTACTCCCTTAAGGCGTTTATGGTTTGAGAAGTTCTGTAGGAGCTGGGAGATAAAGGCACCTTGGTGGCATAATGAATTTATTACTGATCTCAAAGTCAGTGGTTTGAACCCACCGGCTGCCACGCTGGAGAAAGAGAAGGCTCCCTGATCTAAAAGTTTTACAGTCTCAAACTCTAAGCCATTCTACCCTGTCCTATAGGGTCACTGTAAGTAGAAAGCAACTGGATGTCAGTGGGTACGCTGGCCGATCAGGCCTCAGTTTCCTCAATTGCAACATGCTCATGTTGCAATGCTGCCGTGGAGACCCCAGGAGGAAATCAGGTCTGCTTCAGGAGATGTGCAGAGCTGGGCGGCCTCCAGTCTGAGGCCCGGCAGAGAGGTCTTAGGAGGGGCACTGGCCAATGCCTAGGAGTCCCTGACGCTCACCCCTTCGGCCCCCTCCCACCATAGCACCCCAAGTGCCAAGGGCACACTCTGGACAGATGGGCCACCCACCCTCACAGTGACAACGGGGCGTGTGTGTGTGTGTGTGTGTGTGTGTGTGTGTGTGTATGAAAATTGTGAGTCTGAGGCCAGGACAGGAAGCAGGTGTGTGTGTGTGTGTGTGTGTGTGTGTGTGTGTGTAGGTGGGGATCATCCTCCCCTAGAGAGACCCCCCGGGGGCTTGGGCAAGCTCGGAAAGCGGGCTGAGAGAGGGTACCTCCGCCTCCTCTTCTAGGATCCCTGGCTGTTTGCCCGCCAGGGCAGGGCCGCGAACGCAGTGCCACCGGGGCCACCAGGCTGGGCTAGCAGAAGGCCCGACCTCAGCGCGGCAAAGAAAACAAACACAGATGTGTTTGGCTGGGACCCGGAGGGAGCCAAGCGTCCCCTCCCCCCAGCCTGCGCGCTCGGCTGGCGGGGGCCGGCGGAAACCTGCGGGGATCTCGGGCCGCGGGGCCCGGGGGAGGCTGACAGTCCGGGCCCCGCCGCCCCCCGCCCCCTCCGGGGTGCGCGCCGCGCCCACCCCCCTCTCCGGGGCTTCCCCGGGCGCTCCTCTAGCTTTCTCTTTGTCTCGCCTTCCCTTGCTCGGGCTCCGGGGTTCCCACCCGCTGGCGTCCCCGCTCCCTCGTCGCGCCGCCGGGTCCCGCTCCCTGTCGGGGCGTCCGGAGCTGCTTCCCGGTAACTTTCTTCTTTCCCGGGGTTAAAACTTTGCTGTGCAGCGGGCGGCTGCTCGCCGACGTTATTGGCCGGCGCCCCGCCCGGCGCCCC